CGCACGCACGCACGTACGCACGCACGCACGCACGCACACACCACACCACACCATCACACGACACACATTACGCGGTTGTTTCAAGCCATCACGAGTATGAAATACTTGAATTAAAGCCCCTCCTTTATTAAAAATAATGAAAGCATTTTTACTATGATGAAACGCCGCGATGGACCACGGAAGTTTTCTCAATTTGAAACAATTAAAAATGCGTCGATGTAATATCTAGATCGTATGACGCAACGACAGTGTGTGCAAGCGTCGGTGCACGTAGCGTGCTGTGTGAATGTACGTGTCGCGTGTGCACGCTACGTAGCGTGTGTGCCATGCTACGTTATGCTGCGTGTGCACGTGCTTGGTCGTGTGCAATGTACGGTGTTGCGTCGTGCACGTATACGTGCGTGGTGCATGCGTGCATCGCGCGTAGTTAACGCATTGCAATCTATCCACCCTCCGCGCTTAATAAAAACATGACAAATTCCGCCTGCTTGCTCCACCCCCTTTATCTCATCTCTCTTACTGCATCTCTGGCATGTAGTTCCAGTTTCAGAGGAGCATTTTTACTTACGATGAATCCCGGAAGGCCGGTTAGTTTTTTCTTCATTTTAACCAATTAAAAATGCGTCGATGTAATATCAACATTTATATTACGCAACCACGCGTGTGGTAGTTAACAATTCAATTTATCCAGCTCCAAGCTAACATGACAGCGCAGCCGCAGCATTCTTTCTGAGTCTTACTGGCTCTCGCTGCGATCCTTTACTGAAGTTCCAGTAGGCGTCGTTGACGCCTGTTGCAGCGCGCAAGTCATGCTGGTTCGCCTTCCGCCTGAGGTGCTGTGGTATGTCACACGTCACTTCTACGTAGGAGCCGCGACTCGCAGTGCGTTCTGGATCGCACGTCGACCGACGGGTTAGCACGGAAGAATTCGCCGGCGTCGTTGGCGCGGTCCTGCTCGATCGTGTGACCAGCCGACTGGAGATTAAATAGTACAAAATTATTTTTTCATTATCTATTAATTGTTAATTTAATTTTTTTTTTTTTAAATAAAAACCAGATTTATTAATTAGCTTAATGAATAATGGATAAAGAATAAAAATTACAGGGTAAAATAAATATAATAAGTATTATATTTTAGTATTTAGATCAATTATATATTAATAGAATGTGATTAGTACTGATTTTACAAATTGTAAAAAAAATGATCCGGTAAAGGAACTCTTTCCGATCTAAGGTAACAACCTCATAGGCGTACGAACGAGTAGTTCTCGCTGGGGATATTCTGTACAGAAACCAAAACAAAATCCAGACCCCTGAATTGGGCGCCTATGCTTCACGCAGCGATAGCACAGGAAGACGAAAGAAAAAAACGTTTTAGCGTAAGATAAGGTGTAGCGGGAGTAGCGGAGTAGGACAGGAGTAGCGGGAGTAGCGGAGTAAGACAGGGAGTAGGCGGAGATAAGCGAGTAAGTAGCGGCGAGTAGCGCAGTAGGACGAGTGGAGTAGCGAGTAGCAGGAGTAGTCGAGTTTGAGCGGAGAAGCGACAGGAGTGCGGAGTAGCGGAAGTAGACAGGTCGCACAGTTCAGTACGCTAGCTGCTGATCGGGAAGTTTAGTGATACTCTGTATTACGTAAATATCTGTCTACTTCAGGTTGTATGATTTAATATTATTACTCGTCTTGTCTTTTCGCACTTGCTTCACCTCACGTCTTGCTTCACGCCGGCGTGTATCTGGACGCCAGCGGAGGATGGAGCCTCTACGGACATGTACAGCTAACGGACGCATGGTGGCCGCGTCTGACCCCGCCCCCTCTATACTACCGCAGCATCCTGTGACTGACTTACGGCCATCGCGGCGGCTTCGCTCACCGGTGCGACACCGTCCCGCAGTCGGCATGTGACCAGGGCGCCATCCGGCCGGCCACAGCGTCGTGCTCTCCGCAATGAGAAGGTCACGCGTCGTGTCTCGCACTGCGCAGAGCCCGATAGAACGCCAGGCCGCCATTGTTCTGCAGGTGTCGTCAGGGAAAGCTGTCCCGCACGCAGGCTATTAGGGAAGAAGGCTGTCCGTCCGTCATGCGTCCGGGGGGTGGGGGTGGGGGGGGGGGGGGGTGGTGAAACGGATCTATCTCTTCCCGCTTTGCACAACGCAATGCCTTGTCGAATAACAACGAATAGACATAAATAAATATTTATATAATAAATAAACATGAATAAATTAATAAATAAAAATATAACCTAAATAAATAAATAAATAAATAAACTAAATAAAATAAATAAATAAATAAATAAATAAATAAATGAATAAACAATTTAAACAGTAAATAAAAAGTAATATAGATAATATCTAGAATGAATTAAATGTGTAATATCACGTTCGGGCGGATGCGAATTTGACTTTATAATCGCCACATGAGAAAGTCTATAGTTCAAGCGCGTATTAATATATATATACGCCTAGTGAGAGCCGGACGGGCCATTACACAGAATAATTAATTGTAGTACAAATATCTATCGCTATAAGTTTATAGATCATCTTTTGTTCAAATTCTTAAGTCTTCGTTCACTTTTTCTTTCTACTGCTTTGATTCTCTTTCCTTTGAAGCATTTCAACAAGTGTATGCACAAGACCTTTAGTTAGTTAGAATAGAGATAAGATTAAAGCGATATTCGACCGATCGATTATGCAATTTTAACGATGCTACGAGTAACTGTTCCACCGCTTGTGATATTAATATAATACACTTAACCTTATAGCAAACGCGTATTAGTTGTCCAATATCACTAGCTGGTTACTAACAAATGTCTAATTGAATCCGCCAGTCAAGAAATCGGTTGGTGTGACAGTTAGAAACCGTCATGCGGCTGCTAAACGGTCGTAACTGGCGAGGCTGGTGTCAACAGATTTATAGTGACGGACATATATGTCGACGTAGCTCGGCGTCAGTGATTTCGATCCTATGTGTCTGACGTGCGCATTCCTTACGTTATGTTTTACTCTTGGGATTCGGGAATAAGATGAATATACTTCTTGAGATTTACAAAGCAACATATAATATGTCGGCCGCCAACTAGGCCCAACAATAACTAACCAACATAGCAAGACACATTACCGCCGGACAACACAATCGATGCTCAAACATCTTGTAGCAACAATGTGACGTCACCGTCAACCGACACTCGATTTTATTTTGGTTGGCCATAAATCGTCGTTGTCGCCAGAATTTACCAAATTTACGGATTTTCAATCTAGACATTTCTTAGTAATTAGCAGGATTATGGACAAACTAATACGCGTTGGCCTATAAGTAATGTACTTATTAACTACACAAAAGCCTCTCCTTCATGCCAGTTACTGTTAGCATTCGTCACTTTGCATAATCGATGGTCGAATTATGCCTTTAATTAGACGAATACCCTGGTTTGAACCGGGATTGTAAATGATCGTTAACCCTGTCAATTAATAAGATAAAAGAAAGATGAATGGTAAAAAGGAGCATGTGAAAAGTCATAGTTTGCTGTTAAATTTTAATATTTAATAATTTTAATTAATAATAAGTCATTTACTGTAAAAGTCTCGTTGTGTGTGCGCGCCGCACCTCTGTGTGTTGTGTGTGTGTGGGTGTGTCGTGGGCACCTGTGGTGTGTGTGTCCCGACACGCTGTAGTGTGTGTGTGGTATGTGTGTATGTAGTGGCCCCGGCCCTGTGTGGTTGTGTGTGTGTGTGTGTTGTGTGTGTGTTGTTGCGTGTGTGTGCTGCTGTGTGTTGCTGTGTGTGTGGGCGTCGTGTGTGTGTGTGTGTGTGTGTGTGTGTGATGTGTGAGTGCTGTCCGAACATGTGTGTGAGTGTGTGTGTGCTGTGTGTGCCTGTGTGTGTGGCTGTGGTGCTGTGATGCCAACTTGTGTGAGTATGTGTGTGAGGTGTCGTGTGCTGTGCGTGCTGTGTGTGTGTGTATGTGTGCCACTGTGTGAGTGTGTGTGTGTGTGTGTGTGTGTGTGTGTGTGTGTGTGTGTGTGTGTGTGTGTGTGTGTGTGTGTGTGTGTGTGTGTGTGTGTGTGTGTGTGTGGGTGTGGGTGTGTATGTACGTGTGTACGCGCGCGTGTGTGTGCGTTCGTGTGTTCGGATGTTCGTGTGTACGTGTGCGTGTTCGTGCGCGTGCGTGTGTTGGTGGTGTGTGGGTGCGCCTAACAGCCTACCTAATTGAAATGGCAGCAATTCATACGCATGAGGCGTCGTTGTGTTGACGACCATTTCAGCAGACACTTGCTCATGCTGCTCCTCCGTCGTCGATGGTCGGTGTGTTCTACCTGATAAACGCGCCAAACATTAGGCCCGCCTAATACTGAACTGGCCCAACTTCCCAAATATACAACCGACAATCGGCAGTGTAAACGCAAAAGTTGCGCGACCAACCGATCGATAGCAACTAATTGGGAGATATGAACAACCAACTCGGAGTTGCCGAATTGCGAAATTGGTCCAACTCGCCAATTCGCCTACATAAAGTCGGTAGTGTAAACCCACTTTTATAATATTAGTAAAAGTTTCGTGAACAATAGCAGCCTTATATTTATCAAGCTTAAACATTGGGTCAGACGTCGACATTCATATCAAACTACTGGTGATCTGCCTACTTTAATTCTATATTAGCCAACTAATTAATAAACTAAAATAAACTTAACTAAATATTATTGACAGATACAAAGTACAATACCTATCCATATGTGCGTTTTTGTATTAATGCAAAACGCGTTTTGTATTAATGCATAACGCGGGCGTGCGTGCATGCGTGCGTGCGTGCGTGCTGGCGTGCGTGCGTGCCTGCGTGCGTGCGCGTACGTGAGAGCGTATCCCTTGCGATTAATGCGAGTCTATATTGTGAAAACATATCAGTAAAACAAGACACTTACGTGGTCTGCCATGTGAGCGTTCGCCGTGAGCGCCATCTACTCTCACAAAAATCTCAGATAATATTACGCACGCTGCGACGCGGACACACACTAATAACGGCGATTTCATCATCAGATGCGAAAAAAAAGTTATAAACCTTATCGGTTAAACCTAATGCATATCTGGCGAAACATGGCATCCAGCGAGTGGTCGAAACTGTTTTACTGACACGCACCGGACACGGGGAGACAGGATATTCGTAAACTGACTAAGGATGCGACGTCACTGCTAAAGTTCCGGAACACTCGAACGTATACGAGGCATGGAGTCAACGAGAGCTAAGTAACTAATATGGTGCGGAAGTGTAAGTACGTATACGTAGCTTGCACAACTATCAACAACGCACACCCTGCGTGAGACAAATATAAAAGCTCCACGCACAAGTTTCAGTTTATATACACGATGAGGCAAGGCAGCGTAGTCTGAGCAAATTCCTAGAAGGGAGTCGAAATTGATGACGATGGAACACCAGATTACAGATTGAAGGCATAAATACAGCAAAGCGACAAAAGGAACCCGTTTGTTGCATTATTTCTCACAAATATACTTGAGTTTTTTTTTTAAATTGATTGAGATCGCTTTTCTAGAAAATCCCTCTATTCCTCACCCTGTAATCTTAATAAAATATCTTAGCAAATACAAGGAATGCACGAACTCGGATTGGCAAACTGGCATTACCTATGCTATACGCAGATACCTGGATGACAACCAATTCTTTACGCAATAAACCTTAGATTGCACTCACGAAGAAATTTCTAAGATACATTGTGAACGTATGTTGGCAAAACATCACGCGCAACAAAGATTTCAGCATTGGGGGGATGCGTAGAGCAGGAACATATTCAAGTTAAAATAAAGTGCAGGAAATGCGGGGTGGATATCGTGTGTGTGTGTGTGTGTGTGTGTGTGTGTGTGTGTGTGTGTGTGTGTGTGTGTGTGTGTGTGTGTGTGTGTGTGTGTGTGTG